TTTATTTTATGTACTTTTTATTCCGCAAACAATAGTAGTTAGAACACCTAGAAGAACTAGGTTTTTCTAGAGCGAAAATTGGGTACCATACAAATCACCACCCCCTCTTGTGTGGTATTGACGTTTAGAACATCAATTGGTATCAAAGAGGGTTATGCTTGAAGAGATAACACCTTAGGAAAAGATCAACATGAGTGCACCACCTGGGAATTGGGAAGGACAATCCACTACTAGGCCTCCACTTTTCAATGGTCTGTACTATTCTTGGTAGAAGAACAAGATGAGGGATCACATTATAGGAGAAGACTATGAACTCTGGGACATAGTCACTGATGGTCCTCTAGCAACTACTAAGAAGAATGCTGAAGCAGTGGATGTGCCAAAGACAATAGCTGACTGCACTGCTGAAGACCTGAAGAAGTGGGAAAAGAATGCCAAGGCCAAAAAATGGCTTGTGTGTGGACAAGGTCCACATGAGTACAGTATAATTCAAAGTTGTACCACTCCTAAAGAAATCTGGGACACTTTGCAAGTGGCTCATGAAGGAACACCTCAAGTGAAGAGGTCCAGATGAACACTACTGTATTCTCAGTATGAGAATTTCACCATAAAGGAAGGAGAAACCATCCAAGAGATGTATACAAGGTTCACCATACTCACAAATGAACTTAAGTCTCTTGGAAGGATTATTCTTGAAGAAGACAAAGTTGAGAAGATTTTGACAAGGGTTCTTCCAGTCTCTTGGGAAAGCAAAATCACTGCTATTCAGGAATCTAAGAACATTGCTACCCTCAAGCTGGATGAACTAATTGGAAACCTTACTGCCTATGAACTGAGAAGGCAAACCATGAAAATGGTTGCACAAAAAATGGAAAGAAGTTTGGCTCTCAGAATTGCTGAAGGTTCAGATCTGAAGGATGATGAAATGGCTATGATCACAAGAGATTTCAAAAAGTACCTGATCAGAGGAAATGGCTCTTCAAGAGGTACAACCTTCAACAAACCAAGGGCTCTTGAGAAACAGACCAATGAGGGTTGCTGCAAGTGTGGTAAGACTGATCATATGATCAAGAATTGCCCTCAATGGGAAATTGAGTTGCAGAAGGAAAGTCCTGAACGAAGGAATAGGTTCAACCAAAAAGGAACAAAGGATCAACAAAGGCTATGGTTGCTTCCTAGGGAGAAACATCAGATGAGGACTTAGAAGATGAAGCTCCACATGAACAAGCATTTATGGCCATCGGAGAATCAGATGATGAACAAGAGGTCCAAGTGAAGGAAAGAAGCCAAATATGGTACATGGATAGTGGCTGCTCAAAACATATGACTGGAAGCAAAAACCAGTTCCTTTCACTTGAGGACTTAAGGAGAGGCAGTGTCTCCTTTTGAAATGGGAAGAAAGGTAAGATCATTGGGGTTGGAAAGGTAAGTAAGACAGACTCTCACTACATTGAGAATGTCTACTTGATAGATGGCTTGAAATACAGCCTGATCAGTGTGTCACAATTATGTGATCGAGGTTACCTTGTAGCATTCACCTCTACTAAATGCTTTGTGATTAACATTACCACTGACAAGATTGTTTTGAAGGAAAAATGAGTTAACAATATTTACATTGTAGATTTGTCTACTCTCTTGCCTAAGTGTGCTGGATAATGATCCTCTCATGTGGCATAAAAGACTTGGTCATGCCAGTCTGAATCAGCTAAACAAATTGGTTTCTAAGGACTTTGTGATAGGGTTACCCAACATCAAGTTCAAAGAAGACAATGTTTGTGAGGCTTGTGCAAGGGGGAAGCAGGTAAGATCATCTTTCAAAAGCAAGAAAATGGTAAGCACAACCAAGTCGTTGGAATTGATCTATATGGATCTTTTTGGTACAATGAGAACCATGAGCAGAGGAGGAAAGAAATATGTAATGGTATTTGTTGATGATTATTCTAGATTTACCTGGGTACTATTTTTAACATCTAAAGATGAAGCATTTGATATGTTTACTGCCGTTGTTAGAAAAACTCAGAAACATTAGGAAATCAACTTGCATCAATTAAGTCTAATCATGGAACTGACTTTGAAAATGCTAAGTTTTCTGAATTTTGTGATGAAAATGGTATAATTCATAACTTCTCTGCCCCTAGGACCCCTAAAAAAAATAGAGTAGTTGAAAGAAAGAATAGGACTCTTGAAGATATGGCTAGGACTATGCTTCTTTCTAGTAAACTGCCCCATAGCTTCTGGGCAGAGGATGTAAACACTGCATGTTACATTATCAATAGATGCATGACTATACCTCTTGTAGAGAAGACTCCCTATGAGTTACTTAAAGGGAGAAAACCAAATATATCCCATCTTAGGGCATTTGGATGCAAGTGTTTTGTGCACAATAATGGAAAAGACTCCCTAGGTAAGTTTGATCCTGAAAGTGATGAGGGAGTATTCTTGGAATATTCTTCACATAGAAAAGCATATAAAGTGTTCAATAAAAGAACTTTATGTGTAGAAGAAAGTGTACATGTAGTATTTGATGAAACTAACATTCTTTTTGAGAGACAGGAACATGAAGATGAGGCCATTGGATTGGTAAAGGATTTGACTGAAGCCTCAGCACAAGTCAAAGTGGCACCAAAAGAAGGAACAGGTGATGGAATAGGTTCTTCCATCTAGGGCAACCTGATAGGGGAAACTGATCAAAGAGGAATTGAAATAAATCCCCTAAAACAACCTGTTCATGACCCTATTCCTCAGCAACAGAACATGGGAGAAACATCTAGCAGAAACCAGTTAGTTGTAAAACCTCACAAGTTATCAATGTTCTCATCCTATTGAGAACATTATGACTGATCTAACATCTATAGTCAAAACTAGATCACAATTAAAGAATATGTGTACTTTTGATGCCTTTTTATCTCTTATTGAGCATAAAAATATTGTTGAGGCTTTGCAGGATGTAGATTGGATGAATGCAAAGCAAGATGAACTCAATCAGTTTGAGAGAAGTCAAGTTTGGCATCTAGTTCCAAGAACCAAGGACAGATCAGTTATTGGTACAAAATGGGTATTCAGAAACAAACTTGATGAAGATGGAACAGTTACAAGAAATAAGGCAAGACTGGTGGTCCAAGGTTACAGTCAAGAGGAAAGCATAGAATATGATAAGACTTTTGCTCCAGTTGCAAGACTAGAGGCAATCAAACTCCTCATAGCCTTTACAGCACACATGGAATTCACTTTTCATTAGATGGATGTCAAAAGTGCCTTCCTGAATGGCTACCCGAAAGAAGAAGTGTTTGTAAACAACCTCCAGGGTTTGAGAGCAAACAATGTCCTGAACATGTGTACAAGTTAGACAGGGCTCTCTATGGACTCAAGGAGGCCCCAAGAGCATGGTATGAACGACTATCCAAAATGATACTGGAGCATGGTTACAAAAAAGGTAAAATTGATAGTACCTTATTCTTAAGGGAAAAAGGTAAGGATCTCCTTGTGGTACAAATATATGTTGATGACATAATCTTTGGGGCCACCACTGATAAGCTAAGTAAGGACTTTGCAAAATTAATGGGGAGTGAGTTTGATATGAGTTTGATGGGTGAGCTTAACTTCTTCTTAGGCTTGCAGATCAAACAAGGTCCTAATGGAACCATGATCCATCAACAGAAGTATGCAAACGAGCTTATCAAAAAGTTTAAAATGGAAGAATCAAAAGAAATATACACACCCATTGCAACTGCCACTAAATTAGACATTGATGAACCTGGTTCATCAGTAATTCAAAAGTTGTATAGGGGGATTTGTGCTCATTTTCAGGCAAATCCTAAAGAGTCTCACTTAACTGCTATCAAGAGAATGCTAAGATATCTAAAAAGCACCACTGATCTGTGTCTTTGGTACCCCAAAGGTAGTAATTTCAATCTAGTAGGTTATGCTGATGCTGATTATGCAGGTTTCCTAGTGGATGGGAAGAGCACCTCAGGTTGGCACACTTCCTTGGTTCATGTCTAGTGTCAGGGGCTACTAAAATGCAAAATTCAGTGGCCTTATCTACTGTTGAAGCTGAGTATGTTGTTGTTGCCTCTTGTTGTGCTCAATTGCTATGGATCAAACAGCAGCTAGTAGACTTTGGCATTGAAGTTGGTTGCATTCCTATATTCTGTGATAACACTAGTGCTATAAGTATGACAAAGAACCCTGTTCATCATAAGAGGACTAAGCACATAGATGTTAGGCACCATTTCTTAAGAGACAACTATGAGAAAGGTTTGATCTCCATAAAATTCTGTGCTACTGATAAGCAAATTGCTGACATCTTCACTATAGCACTGAGTAGAAAAACCTTTGAGAGGAACAGGTTGGAATTAGGGATGATTAAGATCAGTTAATAGATCCAGCTCAGAATGCACAAAAAATCAAAAAAAAAAAATTGGCTAGGAATTCTAACCTTGTGTAAATATCCAGATTAATTCTTACTCAGTTTCATACTTTAATTAGTATACTACTATGATATGTGTATATATCACTCACTGATCTCTTACAACATTTTTTCTATTATGGCATTTGAAGCATGTTCAAGAGAGTTCTATATGAAGAACCTGGTTCATCAGTATGGGTTCATATTAAAGTTCTGGTATGTTTTCTATACTCTGCATAATTAGAAAGATTAATAATTCAATCATGAGAAGAAGTCCTATACTTGTGAAATTCTTAGAAAATTCTATCCGTTGAGCATTGAACCAGTTCCGTCCATCTAGAACTATAAACCGTGATTTTTGCCTAATATCTAGGGAAGCCAAATCTATCATTAAAATTATGGAATTTCAGTTTGATTAGACTTCTATTTGACCCCTGAAAAAGTTGCCGTTACTTATTGAATGTCTAATTCACTTTAAATACACACCACATCTCCAGTCTACTTCATAATTCTAAAACCGTAAAAAAATCCTCTTCAATTCTAATTGCCCTCTTCTCCAAAATTCCCAAATTCTCTCAAGAAATGAAGAATCATGTCTAACCCACAAGATTATCCTGACACTCTTCCACCACCATCTCTCTCAAATTCATCCTCGTCTACTCCACCCAGTGTATCTCCAAAACCTAGGTTTCGAAGGCAGAAAATGCTTGCTCGAAAAACTGTAGCATCTGGGGCTCTGAGGAAGGTTTTAATTGAAAGGTTGAAAGCTAGCCAAGTGAAAGAAAGCCCAGCTCCAAAGTCTGATTCTAGCTCTGAGTTTGAATCCTTTCAATCCGGGACTGAGGGAAATGGACATGGGTCTTCTGACTCAGAAAAGACTCAAGAATCTCCTTCGGAGGTAAGTTCTTCTATAGTTGAAAACTTAGAAACTAGGTTTGTTCTGGTTGGACCCATTAGGGATGTTGAGTTAACTGAAATGAGTAGGAGTGGAGGTAAAAAGAAGTCTGAAAAAGAAAAGAAGAGAGAGGGTGCATGTGGTGAAGAGAGGGGAAAGGGGAAGGGAGCAGTTCTTCCTATATGTGGGGTTGCACAAGATAGGTTAGATGAGAGTGGCGTGAAGTCAAGGGGAAGTGGTTCTAGGAAGGCAGCTGAGGGGTTGGTTCATCTAAGCAAACAAAAAGATGAACCTGTTTCATCTACTGAAGAACGCTCACTGAACTTGAGCTATCGTAATTCTGTTTTCGCAATCCCTCTCCCCTTTCCCCTTGGCTGACCTACTGAAAAAGGTTGGAGCAAGTTATGACCCAAAGAAATGCAAAGCTACTACACCAAAATCCTCAAATGTTCCCAAGCCATCCAAGAAAAGAAAAGCCTCATCCCCAACACATACTGCCTCTTCAGTTCCTAGCGGTAGAGCCACAAAAAGCAGGGTAAAACAGAGTGAAACTGAACTACAAAAGGCTTTTAAAGAAGGCAGGAAAAAGAAAAAGGATAAGGGAAAGGGAAAAGTTGCAAAATCCTCAAAGGTTGTTGAGGAAGAAGAGATGGAACTGGTCCATCAAGTGAGGGGTACAACAGTGGAGGTTCCTACACCCAAGCCAAATAAACCCAAGACTTCCTCCAAGAAGTCCTCCTCTATGCCTGTAGCTACTGAACCTACACTAGCCAAGAGGACAAGATCTGGAGTGAAAGCTAAACAAACAAAAGTTTCTGATGATGATGATTAGAGTGGAAAAGAAGAAGAAGATGATGATGAATCTGAGAACGAACAGGATAAGCTTGCCATTTTTGGCAGAAGAAAAATCTTAAAAGGTAGATTGTTGAAGGACCTGGTGGAACCAGGGATGATGAGATTGGTATACTCTTTGGCTGCTTAGGATGGAAGGACATGGTCTTTCAGATGGAAGGTAGGCTAGCTAGAAATGAGTTGATTGAATTTATAGCAAATGCTGCTATTAAGGATGGAGTTGTTACTAGCCAGGTGAAGGGAGTTCAAGTGCAGTTTGATGCTGTGAAACTAGGAGAGATTCTGGACATACCCTCTAAAGGGTTTGATGACTATACTAGGAAAATGCGGACTCCCTCCACACTGCCCTTGAAATCACCAAAAGGTTCTATGATTCAGAGAATGTGAATGAAGCCAGCGCTGTGCAGAAAAGGGAGATGAGGCCTTAGCTCAAGGTGGTGTTTGAGTTTGTCAACAAGTGCTTATTTCCAAAATAGGAGAGAAGGCACACTGCCTACTGCATGGTTCTGGTTTTTATGGAATGCCTGGACAGAGGAAAGCAAATCAATTGGCCTGCCCTTATAGTCATACTGCTAGACAGGGTCATAAATGGTTCCAAGGCTCATGCTACCCCATATAGCTTCATACTAACCACAGTTCTGGACAGGCTCAATGTCCCTCTGAAGAAATGGGAAATGGCTTCGAGCAAAGAACACTGGCATCAAAACTCTTCTTGCTTGTGACTATCCAGTCCATTCCATCCCAGTTGAACCTGATTCATCCTTGAGGACACCCATCAACAACAAGGTTAGGACTTTGGTTCATGAATGTGCAGCTATGGATGCTGAAATTGCTAGGCTCAAGGCTCGTGTGGTTGAAGTGGAAGCTGAGAGGGATGGTCTCAGAATTGAGCTTGCAAGAAAAGGAGAAGAATGATGGAATTCTTCAGAACATGCTGAATCTTCTCCAAACTCAATCCTCCAGTTCCTCCAAGCCTTAGGACTCCTAGTTTCAGTCTCCTAAACTCGTTCTAATACCCCTAGTGACCCAGATTAGGGATTTTCCTGTTTTTTGCTCATTGTTTGGATGTTTTTCTTTCTTTTTGTGGATTGTTAGTGGAAACATATCTATCTCGATGACAACTGTTGTTTTCTCTTGTTTAATGATTATTCTGACCTTGATAGTTTAAATATGTTTGTTTGATTACTTATGATTGCACTTGCAGTTGCCCTAGTGGCCATGAGTACTTATTACAATCTGGAATTCACATTGTGTATGCAACTTTTCAATGATGCCAAAAGGGGGAAGAGATATTGTGTGTTACACATTATTCTGAAATAAGTGATATTTATTAACTAATTAACCTGGTCCTTCTGAAAAGAAAATTTTCTAAGTTTAGTGCTGATGGTTAAGCTGAGTTCTTACAGGTGTTTTGATCAGTAAAAAGCATAAAGTTTGTCATCATTAAAAAGGGGGAATTTGTTTCCCCAAGAACAGGTGAAGTTTTGAGGAATGAAAAATTAACTAAATCATGGACCAGGTCAATCTTGTGAAGCACTTGCATGATCAACCTACACATGTGAGATACACGTGAAGGAGATAAGTCCTACTGATCAAGACAACTATATCTCCTGATCTGATCGAAAAGTTTGCATATTGTATAAGGGGAGAAAGTCTCCTTATATGAAGAGAGCACAATCCGAATAAAGAGAGTGTTAGAGTTTGATATCTTCAAGGACTCAACTACAATAGCAGATAAGAAATTGAGTCCCAATCAAACTCTTATTTCTAACCTATCAAATGACAATGATTGTTCTCTTTTACAGATATTGCACAAACATAGAAGTGAAACTAAATTGAAAGCAAAAGAGCAAGACGATTTTGCAAGCAATTTAAGTGAAATTTGAGTGTGCACTCCTGAAGCTACTTGAACGAGATAGAAGAACCAGTTCCACTATATTTTTTCTTATTGTAGTTCAACTGTAGTAGGTGGTTTAAAGTTGTACCTTTCAGCTCCTGAAGCAATTGTATTGGGTACTTTGAGTGTTCAAGTTATAAGCTAATTTGAAGTTGTCGCAACAGTTGAGGTTGTGTGCTACAAGGGATTAGAGTTAATCCTCAGGTTTACAAAGAGTTTTTGTAAATGTTGTTTTGGATCAATGATTTTAGTGAAAGTTTGGGAAAATCCTAGTGAGTAGTAGGTCATGGTTTTATTCCGCAAACAGTAGTAGTTAGAACACCTAGAAGAACCAGGTTCTTCTAGAGTGAAAATTGGGTACCATCCAAATCCCCACTCCCCTCTTGTGTGGTGTTGACGTTTAGAACATCACTTCTACAAATCTTTTTGTGCAGATCTAGGTATCTCCTACCAGCCTAATTATTATCGAGAGCATAACTACGGAAACTTCAAAGTATACCTGCCGGCGTCCGCAGGCCTTGGAGTGCCTCTTTACCAAGATTTCTTTATTTCATTATCTTTTTTATAGACATTGATGTATAGGATTATTCAGTAATACTAAGTAGATATTATGACTTGTATTCGCCGGGTTTTGGGAGTTGTATGTGTTGATTTGAAGAGTTTATTTTATATAGTTGCTGAGTTTTGAGACTTTAATTATTATTTCAACTTTTTCTGCATGAATGTTAGGCTTACCAAGTCTTAGAGACTAGGTGCCATCACAACATCCTATGGAGGGAAATTGGGGTCATGACATCTCCATGAAATATCATGAATATTATGGCAAGATATCACCCTTAGTGCTTTTACTCTCATCCTCACCATGTAATAATATAAATGTAATGGCACGACATCACCCTTCATGCTTTTACTCTTTTCCTCACCATGTAATATCATGAATGTAATGGCACGGCATCACTCTTCGTTCTTTTACCCTCGTTCTCACTATGCAATAATATAAATCCGGATAATAAAGAAGGCTGGGAATAATTTCACTTCAAATATGGTGCAATGATATCAAGCTTCAACTTCAAAAACTTTCAACAACATTAAAATAAACAATAAATACAAAGTGAATAATTAAAGAACTATTAATCTAGCATAAGCATGGATAACATAATTATGGAAATAATATAATACAAAGAAATAATTTCCACCCGCATGCTAAAACCCAATGACAATGCATAGGTACTTGTCACCTAACATATAGATTTTCGCCTAACATAAATCATATAGAAAATAGACGAACAAGTCCTAATCCCTCAAGTGAAGGTTAACCACAATACTTAACTTACTCCACAATTAAATCAAAGTTCAACCGCGAGTTTTACTCTAGAATTAGTCTCCAAACCAATCAAATCTAACAAAAAATAGTTCGAATAATTCAAAACAAGATTTAGAAACTACCCACAAGTAAAAAATATTCAATCTTTAGTGATTTTGAAAAACGTCAACAAAAGTCAACCTCGGGTCGGTTTGGTCAAAACCTGATTGTCACGACCAAAAATCCCTCCGAATGAGTCATGATGGCATCTAGTCTCTAAACTAGGTAAGCCTAGCATTAAATAAAATAACATTGATATTCACTAACTTCAAATTAGATAACTCAGAACACTTACAATTCCCAAAATCGGTAGTACAAGTCATTAGCCTTTCTATGAGTAGTTATACATAATAAATACATCCTGTTCCGGGACAAAAGGAACTAATGGAAATAAGTACAAATGAAGGTGACTTCGAGACTTGCGAACGCAGCAACAAGTTTAACTTGAGTCTCCACCTTAAGTCTCCACCACGACGATCAGCGCAATTACTATTGATCACATACCTGGATCTGTACAAAAATGTACAAAAGTGTAGTATAAGCATACCACAACGTTGCCTAGTAAATATTAAGACTAACCTCGACGGAGTAGTGATGAAGAACAGTCAAGACACCTACTAGTAAAATAAATTGAACAGGATATGATAATAAACTATCAAGAGAAAGATAACAAAGAAATATCAACAGCAGGGAGAAATCAAACTACAAACAGTATAGATAATAAAGAAAAACACAGATGGAAACAAAAGATAACCAAGTAAATTAACACCAACATCGCTGGGACACAGACAAGTAAAAATGTGCTCGAATAAAGAAGGCGATGTTAACTCAATCAATCACATCATTTCTGATACACAATTCTGAATCCTCGATGTCTCATATCATAACCTCAATTACCAAACCTTTAGCACACATGGCACCTTATACCCACATATTTCTATCTTACTTTGCACAACAACATCCTCATTCTACCCAGTACATTATGTCTGTAACAAATGTAATTAAGACGTTCAAGGAGTCTTATTTATACAACATAAGGTAAATTACAGTTTCTAAACCAATTAGGAAATCAGCGAGAAAAATGAAGATATTTTTAAAAATCGTTTTAGTGAAAAAATACCCTTTTCAAATAAAAATACAACATAGAATAAATTATCACCTTTAATATAGGTTTTATTAAATTAACACTTGATAGAAATTCCTTTTGAAATAAAATACAACCTCAGTCAGTTTAAGGAAATTTAATTGAGAAACTAGTTGAAATAAAAATATAACAATAATTGGAATTTGAAATATTGAAATGTATATATAAATACGGCGAGTTCAAATTTAAAAGTTATACAATGTAGCGTAATATTAATTCCTTTATTTTAAATTACTATATTACTAACAACTTAGCTGGACCAGAGGAAATGATTCAACGTAGTAAATTTACTTTGAAAATTAATTCACCAGAGTAATAGTTTCAGGATAAGAATTCAAGGAACAATGGAAAGTCAATAACTCAATGTCAATAACCCGATCCTCAAAACTCAGCAAAACCCGAAATAAAAATTATCAAAGTCTTGAACAAATGAACTAGGTTCTTATCACTAACCAGCTATATCCAATCACTGAGTGGAATGTAAAACTATTGAATAACTTGCATAGTTATAGAGGAATACATAAGCACATATATTGATGCGGCGCGCATCCCGAACCCACCAATACTCCCTTGTTC